AATTTAGTCTGATAATTAGAGAGATGGACTAGGAAGGAAGGTCTAAGGGTTAGGGAAGACCTAACAGACCTAGGTTCTATGGAGGAAAAGGCCTCCACCACTGGTAAAAATGCTCTCACCAGGAACATGCAGGGCTCCACCTCGACAGAGACAGGGCTTTAATTCACTAAACTAAAACTAAAACTCATATTGAAAATATTTGCCATTTTGATGTTGCCCTATACTTCAGGCCATCATTTATAATAGGTGCAAAATAGATTCTTTGGACAAAAATTAACCAGCACACTTAGTTTCAAAGAGAGTATAGTGCACACCCACAATACAGCAGCCATCTAAGAAATGTCTCTTAAAGGGCCCTCTCATTCGGACTGACTCACCTCAGGGCCCAGTTCAGAGGCAGCGGATCACTTCCAAACTGAAAATAAAGGAGGCCCACCTGCTTATATTAAAAACTTGACCTGAGGGTCAGGCATCTAATTTAACACACACATCTCTGTATGTTTATATATATTTGTTATTGGCAGGTTTTCAACTATGATGAATAAATGCATAAAGAAATTATGGTATATTTATATGGAATATAATACAGCCATAAAAATAATGAAATCTTTCCATTTGTAAAAAGAGGGATAGACCTTGAGGGCATAAAGCTGAGTGAAATAAGTCAGGGAAAGACAAATGCCATATAATCTCTCTTGCATGTAGAATCTAAAGCACAAAACAAAACAATCAAGCTCACAGATACAGAGAACAGATTGGTGGTTGCAAGGGGCAATGGGGAAGGATGGGAAAAACGAGTAAACTGTGTTTTTTGTTTTTTTGGGGTTTTTTTAGTTTCAATAAATTTACTAAAAAAATCCTTTAAAATGAAATGACTGTATCTATGAACTGGTTCAGATTCATTCATTTGGGTTACCCTAATAATCAGTAACAACTGTGGCACTGGGGTGGCTCAGTCAGTTAAATGTCTGACTCTTGATTTCAGTGCAGGTCATGATCTCACGGTTTGTGAGATCGAGCTCCAAGTTGGGCTCTGCACTGTAAGCTTGAGATGCTCTCTCCCTCTCTGTCTCCTCCCTGCTTGTGCTTGCTCACTCTCTGCTTCAAAACAAACAAACAAATAATACATACATACATACATAAAAAACAAGTAAACAAAGAAGCTCATAATAATTAGTAATGACTGTTAGAACCAGCAAAAAGTAATATCAGTGGAAAAATTACTTGTGTCCTTTTTGTACCTACATAAAACCAGAAGCCCTCATTTCTTTTCTTCCTCTCTTCCTCTAGTGCCCCACTCTTTTTTCTCTCTTGTTCATTCTATCAATATGAGGGGGGAAAAAGCCTATTTTACCTTGTTTAAAGTTCTGTAAACAATAAAGTTTTAGTGATATAAGATGCACATTAACTTTTATAGGAGTTTTTATATTTATAATAACTTACATATTACATTTAAGTAATCTAGAAATAGTCCTAGTGAAATTTCATTTTACTGTGGAATGCAAAAGCTGAGAGTGATCTCTGATGAGTCCCCATCACCAGAAATCAGCTGGTCCTCACTGAACTCCCAGAGAACACAGATCTGGCCCATCTACCAGATTCTTTAAACCTCTCCAGGGAATGAGATTCTAAAAGTTAATACTCCATTGAGTGAAAGAAATTATCTTTCTTTTCCTGGTAAGAAAAATTATCCTTTATCATTTCTTACAACTCCAAGGTCCCTGCTGAAATAAAAGTCTATTTTCTTTTGTTTGGTTCTGAGCCAAGTTAGAGAATACCTGGAGAATAACTTTCAATATGTATAGTAAAATAACTCCCTTCCAGGAACTTCACAAAGAGCATCAAAGAAAAGTGTTGTAATTCCCCCTAGATCCTATCCAGATGTTTAATTATAAAAACAAGATTTTAAAGACCAGGCCTGAGTATTGTTAAGATTATATGGCAATACATACATATTTCTTTCATTCCACCTTGGAATAGATAGGAGAAGGAATATTCACTGCATTAAAAGTAGAATGAGAGGATAAGAAACCTCATTCATTTTGGATAAGGGAAAAATTGCATTTAATAATTTAATCAGGAAAAATGAAGCACTCAACATTCATCACTAATAGTTACACAAGCAATCATCAGTCTTACTCTTACTGCTTCTTCTTTCTCACTTAAAGCTGTTATTTCAACTTGTCACATTTCCATAGCAACTAATACCTCAAATTTTATAGTCAAAACACTTGGAGTCATTTCTAACTATTCTAAATGCTCCAATATATTGTTAAAAACTCTTGGCTGCTCTTCCCAAAAAGCTAACTTCTCTCTCATATGATACAAAGAATCAGCATTACCCTTGACATAAATAAATCTCATCAAATGATCTAATTTTTCAAGACCAATCTTTTTTCTTAGTTGGGAGCGGGGGGTGACTCTGAGATAAGTCAAATAATGATACCTTCCCACTTCACCTGAGTGCTACACAAACTGAGAAATAAAACGAGGGGTAAGACAAGCAGAGACCAAAATACCACCCTCATTACCGTGAAAGGCCAAGAGGGCAAAGTTTAGTGCAGGAGCAAAATGGGCCGTAACTGAACCGCTCCCCATAGAAGCAGGTATCACTGCCTGTCGTGTCCGCAACAAGCTCTCAACAGGGAAGAAAGAGCTGGCGCAGAAGAAAGGGGGAAGATGTACTCCATGGGGAGGCTGGGTCTCAAAAAGGAAAGAAGAGCTGAACACACCTAGGCTATTGTTCCTAATTTACCAGGGATGACAGCCTTACCTGGTATTCAATGAGTAAACTGGCAGTGAAGTAAGGAGTTATGTTAATTTAACTCCTTCTATCTGGAAGGGAATACTAGAAAAGGGAATACTCGTTCTTCCTGCCCTACTCCTTCAACATCTCAAGAACTACCAAACACAATTCTTTTGTAACAAAGTGTCTTGTCAGTTTTCACCCATCTCTGGTAAGGGACAGGTAAGAACGCAGTAATCTTAAGAACTGTACCCCTTATTTTTCCTGATATTTTGCTGGCTAGAAAATTGTTTTTATCATTCTGTGCTTTATTTACTTAACATTCTTTAAAATTTTTTCTGAACTATTTAAAAATCAAAATTTTGCTTTATAACTAATCTGAAAACCAACAAAGATGCTGTAGTTAAGTATGTTAACTTAAGTCTCAATTTCCTCTTTGTAAAAGGGGGCTAATAACAGTACCTATCACACAGGTGTTGTTTTGAAGATTAAAACAAATTAGGCATGTGAAGTCCCATGTCTGGTACCTAAATAGCGCTCAACACCTATTAGAGATGGTGGTGTCGGTGGTGTCATGATTTCGCTCTTTCCATCATGCTTTAAGACTGACTTTGGGACTTTATGACATCTCTTCTTCTCCAAAGTTACTTCCTACAATCTCTTATCTGGCTATTTCATCAGCCCCCTCCTTGGATAAACCGAGTCCTCTCTTGCCCCTTCATAATGTCCTTCCATAGCAAACACAGTGATTTTTTAAAAAAATGTAGACCAGATCTTGTCACTCTCTTACTTGAAGCCCTCTAATGGCTTCTCATCATACTCAGAATAAAGTCCAAACTCATCAGGGCCTACAAGTTGGACTTGAGCTGGCCCTGTCCAGCTGTCTGACTTCACCTTCCATTATTTTCCTGCTGACTGTCTTTGCTTCAGCCTTGGCAGCCTTCTTTCTTTTCCTCTAATTCCTCAAGCTGATTCCTGTTCAGGGACCCTTAAAAGAAATTTAGGCCCCCAGGATGAATAAAATTCCTTCTTTTTCCAGGCTTCAGATTAAGTAACCAGTTTCTTATCAGGAAATAAAAAACTCAAAGCTCCAAAAACAAAAATTAAATCCTTTTTTTTTTCTTCTCTTAGCTACAGTAATCAAAAGCCTTCATTCATAACACACTCTGACCATTGGTTCATGCCTTGTTATTTGTTTTTCATAAAAATATACTAATTAAATTCACTACCTAAAATAAACCATAACCCACATCCAACTATGACCCCCCAAGCCCCCTCCCACCTCCCATCACTATTATAATCCTAAATACAGAACACAGAAGACCTGAACAGCACTATCAGCCACTTTGAGCTAATGAACATTTATAAAACAACATCAGCAGCAAATACTTTCTTTTCAAGGGTATATGGAAAATTCACCAAGAGTGACTATATTCTGGGCTATAAAGCAAACCACAACAAAAATTTTGTTAAAGTTCTTAGACCAAATGGAATTAAACTAGGAATGAACAACACAGATATCTGGAAAATCCCCATATATCTGGCAACTAAGAAACATAATTCTAAATAATCCATTGTTCAAAATTAGTAAATGCTTTGAATCAAATAAAAACTAGAATATAATATACCAAAATTCAAGGCATGCATCAAGCAGTGGTTAGATATTTAAACCATTAAATATACAGAAAAGAACAAAGCCTCAAATCAATGACCTAGGCTTTCACTTTGAAAAAACTGGAGAAATAAGAGCAAATTTAAATCCAAAGCAAGGCAAAAGAAAGTAAACAATACAGAAAAGACCAGAAATCAATGAAATTGAAAACAGAGAAACAGAAAATCAGTTAAAGCAAAAGGTGGTTCTTTGAACAGATAACAAGATTAAAAATCTTCCTGGCTGACCAAAAATAGAGCAGGAACACACAACTACCAGTATCAGGAATGGAAGATGAGACATCACTATGAACCTACAGATATTAAAAGGATTGTAAAGGAATATTACAAACAACTTTATGGCCATACATTAGACAACTTACACAAAAATGAACACTTTCCTTGAAAGGTACCCAAACAACCAAAACTCACTCAAGAAGAAATAAATAACCTGTATAGTATTACATTTCCTCATGAAAACCTCCCAACAACATACATTCTTATAACATTGTTATGTTAATGCGTAATAGAAAGTCTGAACAACTTTATGAAGCAATGATTAAAACTTAGATGAAATAGACAAACTCTTAGAAAACAGACTTACCAGATCTAAATCACAAGAAATAGCAGTTCTATGAATGGTTCTGTAATTATTCAAGCACTTTAGGCTGTACTTAATCTTCACACAAAGGAAACACCACATCCAGATGGCTTTGCAGGATGTTTTACCAAGCCTCCAGGTACAGATCATCCCAACTTTAGATGAACACTTCCTGTAAATATCAACTCAATTTGTAATTTCTTTTTGCTTTCTTTCAAGTGTTTTTGTGGAGCAGAGTTTCTTAACATGGTCAAATTAGCCATTCATTTCTTCTTATCCTGTTTAGAAACATCTTCCTTTCCCAATTTCACGAAGATATTCACCTTTGCTACCTATGAAGAAATTGAGTTTCATTGTTGACATGCAGGCCCTCAATCTGTCTGAGGCTGATTTTTGTTTTCAGCCTGACATGGGGATCTAATTTAATATGAGTAGTCAGTTTTTGTGCAACTCTACCAGTACTTCCTTTATACATTGATCTGACATCCAGTTCTGTTATTTAATAATATTCTATATTCATGAGCCTCTTGCCGGCCTCTCTATTCTATTCATTAGTCAGTTTATCTACTTCTGTATTAAAACTGCACTATCTTACTTAACTTCATAGAAATTTCTCATATCTGGAAGGGCCAGGTCTTCAGAAGTGTTCTGACTTTTGCCAGCTCTTAACTCTTCCAGCTTCAATCTCATAGTTCACTATGACCCTTTTCTTGCAATCATTCTGAACTTCCTTGCCCTTCCTCCATCACATTCACCAGACTAGATCCCACACCCAGTCCTATTAAAACCCAACTCTTAAACTGCTAAGTCACTATATTGAATGAATCTGAAGAAAAAACAAAAATGACTGATGTAACTTTCTAACTAGTTTCAAACAGGCCCTCAGAACTTCTCAACATTCCTATCTTGTCAATCTATCCTCCCACACTTCTAGATAAGGAGGCAAAATTCATATATTGAAATAGAATCCCCAGTGTGATGTTATCAGTAGATGGGGTGTTTGGGAGGTGATTAGTTCATAAGGGTGGAGTCTTCATGAATGGGACTAAGGCCCTTATAAAAGGACCCCAGTATGTCGATTACATCTCAATAAAACTGGAAAAAAAAAAAAACAACAGCCCCCCCCGCCCCAGAGAGCTACCTTGGCCCTTCTGCTATTTGAGGTTATAGTAAAATGAGATGAAGAAGTGAGCTCTCACTAGATGTCAAATCTTCCAGCACCTTGATCTTGGAATTCCCAATCTCCAGAACCACAAAAATAAATATCTGTTATTTATGAGTCACCCAGCCTATAGTATTTCACTACAGTAGCCTGAAATGACTAAGGCACTATCCCTCAGTATAAAAGGTATAATAAAAGTATTTACCTTTTAGTGTTCTTAGAATTAAGTAAGTTAATAAATATAAGTTACCTAAAACAGTATGTGGCACATAGTATTATTTAATACTAGGAGTGTTGTTCTAGATGATGATTTCAAACTCTATCCTCTCTCCTCTAATGTCTTTTCCCTACTCTTTCTCTGTACTGTTGGCGTGGCTGATTTCATTAAGGAACCATCGATCAAAAGAGAAGTTTCACATTTCCCCAACAACAAATCTTGCAATTTCCTTGTAGTTGTACCCCTTTAGTCTGCTTCTCTGTTACTATAGATAAATTGTTATTATTCCTAAGGCCAATTCATCCACTGGGAAACCCCTTTCCGTTCCCCAAGGACTTGTTCATGTAATTATCCCTTTTCTCTAAGGAACTATCCATTTTTTCTTCTCTACTGGAACAATCCCCTACAAAAATGTCCTACAATCTGCCATTGTAAACAAACTCATCCTGACTCCACATTGTCTTCCAGACAGAACCCCTTTTCTCTGCACATTATAGAAAAATGCCTTCCAAAAATATGTCAATAACTTGTCTACACTTTCTTTCCCATATTCTCTTGGCTTCAATCCAGAACAGGTTTACATCTTTGCAACTCCATAGGATCCCCACTTAACAAAGTCAGTAAAATCCTCCATATTGCCAAATGCAAGACAATTATCTGTCTTCATCTTACTCTCCTTTCACACTTGCTCACTTCTACTTAACTTGGCTTTGATTAGAGTACAGCATCGGCCACTCTTCAGTATATTTTGCTTCACCTTCCTTCCGTATCACCAAGTTTTAGTGTGCTCAGAGCTCAGGTCTCCAACCTTTCTCTCTTCTACCTATAGTCATTTCCTAACTGATATTACTTACAGCTATGCCTTTCAATGCTGTCTATTCATTACTAATTCCCTTGAACCCCATACACATATATCCAACTACCTACTTCCCATCCCTACCTGGATGTCTAACTGGCATCTCACACTGACACATCCATAAATGAACTCTTAATTTCCCCTTCTAAATCTGTTCCTCTCCCAAAATATCCCACCTAATAAAGAACACCACAAATCACCCAATTGCTCAGGTTGAAAATTATAATTCCTCTCTGACATCCTACAGTCTTCAGCAAATCTCGCTGGCTCAACCATCAGTGTATCTAATCCAACCACTTTTTCCCACCGTCAATGACAGTCCAAGCCATCATTATACATCTCAAGTGGACTATTATAACACCCTCCCAACTGGTCTCACAGATTCATCTCTTACAGTTTTTTCTCCTCATGAGTGATCCTATAAAAATACAGGTTCACTTATCAATCCTGTAGTATTCTATCATTACACCCCTGCTCAAAACTTTCCAATGGCGATCAATCACACAAAGAATAAGCAAAGGTTTTACTAGGATCTACAGGCTCCACAATATCCCATGCACCTCTCAGACCTCACCTAGTGCCACACTGGTCCTCACTCAGAGTTCCCCCTCCCTGATTCTTCAGTTCTGAAAAAGTGCCCACTCATTCTACTTTACTGAGGGTCCCTTTTCCTGAATGCTCCACCCCATATACTTTGCCTAACTGTCTCCTTTTCTTCAGGATCTCAGTTGAAACACAATATCCACAAAGATGGCTTCTTAAACCACTCTACTCCAGAGTAGCCACCCCATCCCCAAGTCATACCACCTAACAAGCTTTATATCCTCTATAATGCTTATCAACATTTAAAACTTTCCCACTTTGTTGCACCTGTGTGGCTCAGTCGGTTTAATTTCGGCACAGGCCAGGGTCTCAGGATTCCTAATATCGGGATGTGGTGTGGGGATTCCGGCTCACAGCGGAGCCTGTTTGAGATATAGGCTCCCCACTTCGGCTCCTCTCCTGCTCTCTCGCACATCTCTCTCATCCTTTCTCCAATAAATAAATAAATAAATAAATAATAATAAATTGAAAAGAGTCCCCACTTATCTTTAAATGTACTTATATATTTCTCTGCCTTCTTGCACCTAGAAAATAAATTTTATAAGAACAGATATCTTCACTCTCCTTGAGTATAGTATCCCCAGCGGATGGAACAATGCCTGGCACGAAGAAAACAACTTATACATAGTTGTATCATGAACCAACCTCCCAGAAATCTCTCAAATCTATTTCATTCTACAGGAGAACCTTAAGTTTAGAAAGTTAAATGAATCACCTAAGGTGACATCAGATTAAGTGACAGGTTTGGTTTTAAGGCTTGGCCTACTTCCAAATGTCGGTTTTTAATTACTACAATACATGGATTCACTGATTTTTTCCCCCTATTTATTATGCTGCTTGCGACTAGAGTTTAAAGCTCAGAGATGTGATTTTGCAAACTACAAGCGTAAGGCCTCCACTCTACCACACAGCCTCCAACCAAGTACCTCCCTTTAGTCCGCCTCAGCTCCACTAAGCCCCGCCCCTTCCTTGGTTTGCCAAGAGCGCCTGCGCCTTCAGGGAGTCGCAGGCAAAGAGTTCTGGGATTGGTAGTCCACTTTACTTCTATCTCCAGACTTGACATAAAACGAAATAAACAGCAGTGCACGTTAGGTGGCTCTGAATCTCCCACAAACTATCAAACTCGGATTCTGGAAAGTGGTGCAAACTTGTCGTTTTCAAACGCAAGGTGCCAGCTTCGGATCAAGGCGCTGCGCAGACAGTTGCTGGGGTCCTTGGCTGGGCGGAGCTTGTTCGCGGTGGCTTGTGGCTCCTTCCTGCGCCGCTTCCCTCTTTTGCTCGGGCCCGCGGTGCTGGCAGGATGGGTGAGCCGTCTGGGATCGGGCCGAGGGGGCTGCGAGCCGAACTCGGGGGCTCGGGGACGGGCGGGCGAATGGGAACAGAGCGGTGAGGAGGACGCCACCGGGAGGCCCGCTGGGGAGGGCCAGGGAAGCGCTGTTGCGGTAGGCACATGGCCCGGTGCGGAAGGAGCCCATGCGGCGCGGGGCTCGCCGTACCGACCGACGTTGGGTAGCCGGTGCAGCTCTGGGGCATTGACCAGGGGCCTCACTCCTTTGGGAAAACGCACCCATCGGAGTACTTGTGTTCACCTCTGTTGGTTCAAGGGAAACTGAGGATTAGACCATATGCTAAATTGTGATGAAAGAGCCTATCGGCCTGTAATCCAGGTGAGGCTAGGGTCTTAGAAGATGTAAAATATGACTCGAGTGCTTGCAGAGCAACTCATAGGATTCTGATTTTTAGGCAAGTGTCGTGGTCTTCGTACTGCCAGGAAGCTCCGTAGCCACCGACGAGATCAGAAATGGCACGATAAACAGTACAAGAAAGCCCATTTGGGCACAGCCCTGAAGGCCAACCCTTTTGGAGGCGCTTCCCATGCAAAAGGAATTGTGCTGGAAAAAGTGTAAGTGAAAGTCCACATTTTTTTTTTCCCGTCAAGGCTTCTTTTACTACTGCAGCTCGAAACCTACAGCTAAAGTTGTGATGTAAATTCTAAATCTTTAGGTAGGAATATACGTCTGGAAGTTGGTAACATGAGGGTTCGTGGGTTAGGTAACAGGTTTTTAAATCTCTTAGGGATGGCATTGGAGGGGGTGGAGTTAACAATGAAAGGACATTAAGAGCGCTTACAACGAGTGGGAACTGCCTTAAGTAATTGGTACCCATCAACCTTCTTAATCTCAGCAATCAGATCTTTCTACTTGGGAAAACTAAGGTGAAGAGCAGTTTCTTGCTTTACGTTACAAATCTGAGATTGAGTGGCATGAATGTTGATTTTACAAAATGGTAATTTATAAGGTGCTAATGAATGCACTGTTAGAAAAGACTTTGTAGCTCTATTTCTTGATTCATATTTTTTATACTGGTAAGTAAGGGGCCAGAGATTCTCCCTGAGGAAAAGCTTGGTTGAAATCACAGGAGTTAACCAGTTTAGGATTAGACTGAGTAGATGGGAAGAGTATAATGCCTAGTAAATTCTGTGCCAAACAAACTAAAACCTGTCCCTTCTCAGAAAGGCAGCTCACTGTTGTGCTCTTTATGTTTTAGAGGGGTTGAAGCCAAACAGCCAAATTCTGCCATCAGGAAGTGTGTCAGGGTCCAGCTGATCAAGAATGGCAAGAAAATCACCGCCTTTGTACCCAATGATGGTTGTTTGAATTTTATTGAGGTAAGTGTTTTAGTCAGTTGTAGCTTCTCATTCCTAAGATGGTTTTGCCCATCTTTTTCTATATGAAGAACAGGTATTTTTGGTGCTTGCCACTCACACCAGAAGTAAACTGTTGATTTTATTTCAGGAAAACGATGAGGTTCTGGTTGCTGGATTTGGTCGCAAAGGTCATGCTGTTGGTGACATTCCTGGAGTTCGCTTTAAGGTCGTCAAAGTAGCCAATGTCTCTCTCTTGGCCTTATACAAAGGCAAGAAGGAAAGACCAAGGTCTTAAGTTTGGATGATGAAAACACGACAATAAATTTTTCATATATACCAAAAATATGTTTTGTGTCTTATTTTCCTTAGTACAGAGATGCAGCATATACCTTTCCATTTAAGGAGAATGGGAATACCAGTAATTCAGGATTCTCTACAGTAAATGGGATTCATAGTTTGTCTCCTTTCTGGAATAAACGTCCAGTATCCCTGGATAGAGAGCAGTGTTAAAAAACTCACTGCGCTTAGAGTGGGAATCATGTTGGAGAAACCCTGGCAGTGTATATTCTGAGATGGCATCCCTGGGGACCCAGTATGATAGATGCCCCCAAGTTGCTCCCTGCTCTGGTGTTTGAGTATCTAAAGGTTCGTGATCCATGTTGTAATCGTGTTTATGACCGTAAGAAAGGCACTAAGACAATTGAGTAGATACACAGTAGAAGTGTATACCTGACAAATTGAGACAGAAGAAATACTTGTTTGCAGCACCTGGATGGTGCAGTTGAGTGACTTGATTGTTGCTTAGGTCATGGGATCGAGCTCCACACAGCATGGAGCCTGCTTAAGATTTTCTTTGTAAAAATAATTCTAAAAATCAAAAGAAAAATACTTAGGAGCAAAGGGTGTTCAGCTATGGAATGGTTCACCTAAATGTTCTTTGTCCTGACTTTGTCAGTAACTGATATTTTGACTTTGAGGTTTATTTCATGGCACAAAGTAGAAGTGATCAATTAGAAATGGTCTACAAGGGTTGTAGCTTGGTAATTGTTGAAGCTGGGTGTTGGGTACATGAGATTTTTTTGTCCAGTCCTTTATGAGTTTTTATTCCAGTATAGTTAACATGCAGTGTTATATTAGTTTCAAGTGTACAGTCTAGTGATTCAACACTAACATTACCTGGTGCTCATCACAAATGCATTCCTTAATCCCTATTGCTTATTTCACCCATCCTGCCCCCCACCTCCCTGTGGTATCCATTAGTTTGTTTTTAATAGTTAAGAGTCTTGTTTCTTGCCTGGTGCTGGGTGGCTTATTCTCAGATCATGATCTCGTGGCTAGTGGGTTGGGGCCTCATGTCAGGCTCAGAGCCTGGAGCCTGCTGCGATTCTGTCTCTGCCCCTCCTCTGCTCATGCTCACTTTCTCAAACATTAAAAAAAGAGTCCGTCTCTTGGTAGTATCCTTAAATCCAGTTTCAGAATTTCCATAGGAGAAAAATGGTTAAAATCTCATGGCTAAAATGAAGCTTATTAGCTTTCTCAAATCTGGAAGAACTGCTATTGGCAGCAACAGTAAATCTGGGTTAGTTGGCTCTTTGAACATAGCCTAGTATTAGGTTATGTTTAGGATCTTGGAAAGTAAATTCTTTGGCTTTGATTTGCGATAAGACCCAAACCATGATCCTTTCCACAGTACAGATCAGTGTTTTGTCTGATCCTTTCCTGCTCCAACAGGAACAATGAACTCTCCCTTGTTCAAACTTGTATTTCCTAGACAGTTTCAGGAGACCCCTCACATGCCACCTGCTGCTTCTCCCATCTCAGACCTCATTGATCCCCAAATAGGTCATACTTAGGATTATGCTTGTCACAAATGATTGTGTGATTTGTCTCCATAAGGATGAGGAGTGGCTTTTTTCTACTTGAAATACAAAGTGTGACATTTAGCATTGTGTGAATTTAAGAAGTACAAGTGTTAATTTGATACATTTATATGTAATAATAGAGATGGGTGGTTTTTGGTTTCCATTCCAGGGCTTAATGTGTGTAGTTGCATAGGTATCAGTTAAGTTATTTCTTGGAGGCTGACCAGATGCTTTCGAATCAACGTACTGACCCAAGCAGGGAGATCTCTGGGTCTTGTCCACCCAGCCTGAACCACAAGAGGCCACCAAGGGCCATGGGATTTCATCCCTGTGATCAGGTGCAGTGTGGGGAGCAGGGAGGTGCTGCCTGGTGGTACAGGAAGAAGGAGGCTTGGGGAAGGCGAGAGGGCGGGGTGGCACTGACACACACCCACCCACCCCTCTGCAGTGTGTCCTGTTTTCTGCCATGTTGAGACCTCGGCCAAGGCTGTAGGGAAGAACACGCCTGGGAGTTAAGACATTCTGCGACAGTGGCTCATACCTGTCTGCTGGGTGTACCTGGGACGCTCATCGTATAGCTAAGTGGCTGACACATAAGTCTACCTCAGGCACCTCAAACACCAAGTGTTTGAAACTGATCTTCCTTCTCCTTATGGCTCCTTCTGTCTCCTGTGTATTTTCCTTACCCATCCCTCACCACCTTGTGACCTGTACTCTCCCTGATTGAATCCAGCATGAAGTGTGTACCTGGCCTGTGCTGTACGCAAAGGCTGTAGGGTGAGAGAAATGAGGCACTCACTTTGGGTGCAAATTTTAAGCAAAATCCCAGCAGATTTTTTTTTCCCTGTAGAAAAAGAAGCTAATTCTAAAATTTATATGAAAAGGCAAAGGAACTAGAATAGCTAAAACATTACTGAAAATAAAGAATAAAGGGTGGAGGAATCATAAAACTTAGTTTTAAGACTGAATTTATAGCTACAGTAATCAAGAGGGTATGGTATTACAGAAGGAGTAGACACGTCACTAAAATAGAATGCATTAAAAGACATGGGTGACAACCAATTTTTGACAGATACAAAAGCAATTCAGTAGATGAAGGACAGTTTTTATAGTATAGACTTTAATTTGGAAAAAAGAACGAACTTCAACAATGGACTTAAATCTCACACCTTACACAGAATTAATTAAAAATGGACCATGTATATGAATGTAAAATATAAAGCAATAAAACTTGTAGAAGAAAAACACCTTCATGACTTACAGTTAGGTCAAGAGCTCTTAGACAATACACCAAAAGTAAAAAAAAAGACTGGACTTTTTCAAAATTAAAAATTTTATTCTGTCAAAGATCTTGTTTAAGAGGGAAGTATGGAAATATAGTGGTACATGGGTGGCTTAATCAGAAGTGTCTGACTCTTGATTTTGGCTTAGGTCATGATCTCATGGTCATGAGATTGAATCCTGTGTTGGACTCCGTGTTGGGCATGGAGCCTACTTAAGATATTCTCCTTCATTGTCCCTCCCCACTCTCCCTCTCCCTCTCTCTCTCCATCTTTCTCTTAAAAAGAAAAAAAGGATGAAAACACATGCCAGAGATGGGCCAAAAATATTTGCAAATCATATACCTAACAAAAGACTCGTATCTAAAGTATATAAAGAACTTTCTAATCTCAAAAGTAAGGAAACAAGTGGTCCTACTACAAAATATATGAATTTCCTTTGTTTCATTCCAGGAAAATGTCTGGTGGCAGGATCTGGACATAACAGTCATGCTGTGGATCTGTGGGTAACATTCCTGGAGCCTGTTTCAGGGTCGTCCCTGTAGCTAACGTGTTTCTTTATTAGCTTTGCGCAGTCAAGAAAAGAGATTGAGATAATAAATTACCATATTGGGATAAAATTTTCACTGACTGAAGCTTGTATAATCTTTATTTTAACTGATAAAATCCTTTTAAATGGATCATTCAAATATTAGCTCACATTTCTTAGGACATTACAGTTGAGGGACTGTCTTAGCAGGTTGTACTGAGCATTCTTTCTAGCACTTGTCCATTTTATTTGGTAAAGCGATGTTATGTTTGTTAGTATGTAAGGAAGATAAGTGGATTTCTAAAGCTTATTGTCATGATAATATGACCATAGGAGATCTAGACCAAAGCATTAAAACATTAAAATTGCATTTTTTATGCATAAACTGTCGCATAGGAGTAAGTTATTTTTAGAGTTACACATTTGAAAGGACTCATGACCACAGATAAGCAACATTTCCAAATATGCACAGTTGCCACCTCATTCAGGTTGCCATTCAAGCTTTTAGTGTGCGGTGTGTATCTTCAAAAATGAGGGGGCCCCTCGCACACAGAACCTTGGAACTTTAGCCACACGTGATGAGCACCATCAAAATCCCTTTCTTTGACATATTCAGCTTCCCAGACAACCAGAAGCTTTTGAAGAGCAATCCTAGTGCCAAGGAGAGGGGGAAATCATGGCCCCGGATCACCCCTTCAGATTTTCCAGTCAGAGAAGTACTTTCCACGTGTCTTTACAAGGATCTGCTTGATTCTTTGTGGTAAGAAGTTATTGACATGAATTCTGTTCTCTACTTGCGGTGAGGAGGGTGTTGTTGTTTTGTTGAAAGAGCTTTCTAAAATCTCTTTTTTGCTGTGGTTAATTAGAAACAGAGCAAGGGGTCAAGTTACTTGTGTGGATTAAAAGTGTAGGACATTTTGAGCACACCCAAATTTTCAAACTAAGTTTAGATGCTATGAATATATTATTATGCTTCCTTACCACTTTTAATCAATCAGCTAATGTTTAAATCTGTACAACAGTGGGCAAAGTAAGCCACATTTTAAGTAATACTGCATTTCAATCACAGCTGAGAACAATTGAGAGAAACATTATTTGCTGCAACATGCTTTGTCCATTAACATTTGCTTTGGAAACAGTGATAGGAAATAGGTTGTTTTGTCATATCATTTTTCCTCCATCAGCTTTGTGAATTTATCGTCTTAATTATGTCTTTATATTTTTTCTATATTGTTCACCAGCTTCAGGTGCTCTGTTTCGTGTGTATTTGCAGGTAGTAGGACCACATCTCCTTATTTAGATTCCCAATAGGTTCCATTTTTTTACGAAAACTTTTAATTCCATATGCAATAGTTGATCTTGTTCCTTCTGTATTTTATACATTTTCTTATTTATAATTAAGTAGCTTTTTTTCTGTCACTATACTCCTATTTTTCTTGACCATGATATAATACAGAAGCCATTGTGAATGCAATGTGTTGACCAAGATTCTTGATATAGGACTTTTCTCATAGATTTTAGAGAGTCTAAGAATCTCCTGCAACTGTATGCAGAATTTCCTGATATATATTAGGGGTGGGTGTGATTTAGGTGGGTGTGCATATGCATACACACATGCACACATTTTCCTGAAAAGAGGTTCTGCACATCCTTCAGACTTTTAAAGGGGTTCTTTCACAAGAAATCAGCTATTAAATCTGTATAATAATGAGCAGATTTAGTCACGTATTCCATAACTGTCCATTTTAATCACAGTTGAGAACGGTCACAAGAAGTTGTCTCTGGTTTACTATCATTGATGAAATATCTCCAACGTGGTGAGGATGTGTGGATGGATCGTCCGGTATGCAGAAACTGTACCTTTCACATTCTGCCTTGATGGTACCAGCTGACCTCATGGAACAGCAGGACATTTTAGAGAAAAGTTCCCCAGTATCACAAAGGCATAATCAGAAAGAGGGTGCAAAGCTCCACCTCAGGAGTAGAAGCAGAGGACAAGAACCCAAAGATGTTTTAACATGTAAGACTGCAGTAAAACTTGATAGAATACATAAATAAAAATGTTCAGTACGCACCTGTAAAAACAAATGACATAATGTCTGCAATTTTCTTTAAACTATTTGAGCAAATATAAAGTTAAAGGTTAAATGAAGGAAATATGGCAAAAATACTGGTAATTACTGTTTCTGCTATGTAAGTATGTGAGGGTTTATTATATACATATAATACATATATATAATATATATACTTTTTTTTTGCTTTTGAGTATGTATGAAATTCTCCATAATGTATGTTTTAAATTGTATACATATCTTCATTGCTTAACTCCAGCTTTCTGGTTGTCTTAGAACCAGTATCTGGACAGTCAGCTCTGACAGAAGCAAAACACATATTTGGGGCAATTAAATGGACAACAAAGAAGATGGAAAACTAACTCTAGCAGCACTGAGAAATGCACAGCCTACTAGGAAGAAATAAACTGAGAATCTATGCAAAATTTAGCAAGACATAAAGAAAAAATGATCAGCTCCATAATAAAAGGAAAGTAAAAATTATTTTCAAAGATTTTAGGAAACAGTAAAACACATACTACTGCTGGGAATGTATATCATATAGCCTTACCAGTGAACAATTTAGGAACATGAATCAAAAGTCTTAAGACATTCCATATCCTTTGATCTATTCATTCCCTTAGTATAACCTAAAGCAACTGCTTCTGCACACATTTCTCACTGCATTGCATTCTGACAGATCTCCCAGGGAGGGGCTTTGTCTACCTTACTGACCACTATATCCCTAGCACAGGTCCTGACCATGCAGGAAGCACGCGCTCAATGAATGTATGTTAAATAAACAGAGAAGAATTAGAAGCAACCTAGAAGTCTGATAGAATTATTTGGTATATTTTGATACAGAATATATATAAGTTATTTTAAGTTGTTGTTTTTTTTAAACGTTTATTTATTTTTGAGACAGAGACAGAACACGAGCTGGGGAGGGGCAGAGAGAGAGGGAGACACAGAATCTGAAATAGGCTCCAGGTTCTGAGCTAGTTGTCAGCGCAGAGCCTGACGTGGGGCCAAATGAGCCACCCAGGTGCCCCTTAAGTTGGTTTTTCAAAGAATATCAAATAACGTAGGAAAATGCTGTCAGTATAATGTTAAGTGGGAAAAATCAGAATGTAAAATTATATATGGAATGATCCTAATTAAATATGTCTAAACTAGTATGAGGAAATACAGCAAAATTTTAAATGCAGTTATCCATGGATGATTTCCACTTAAGCACATTTGAAATGTTCTCCTTCAAATGTTTCTGTGGCTTCCAAGTCATCTAGGAGGACTAAAATCTTTTCTAAAAATGAATTTTAGGGGTGCTTGGGTGGCTCATTCGGTTAAGCATCTGACTTTGGCACAGGTCATGATCCTGTGGTCTGTGGGTTCAAGTCCCATGTTGAGCTCTATGCTGACAGTTCAGAGCCTGGAGCCTGCTTCTGATTCTGTGTCTCCCTCTCTCTCTGCCCCTCCCCTGCTTGCATTCTGTCTCTCTCTCTCAAAAATGAACGAACATTCAAACAATAAAAATAATGGGGCGCCTGGGTGGCTTAGTCGGTTAAGCGTCCGACTTTCGCTTAGGTCATGATCTCGCGGTTCGTGGGTTCGAGCCCCGCGTCGGGCTCTGTGCTGACTGCCAGCTCAGGCCTGGAGCCTGCTTCTGATTCTGTGTCTCCCTCTCTCTCTGCCCCTCCCCTGCTTGCATTCTGTCTCTCTCTCTCAAAAATGAACGAACATTCAAGCAATAAAAATAATGGGGCGCCTGGGTGGCTTAGTCGGTTAAGCGTCCGACTTTCGCTTAGGTCATGATCTCGCGGTTCGTGGGTTCGAGCCCCGCGTCGGGCTCTGTGCTGACTGCCAGCTCAGAGCCTGGAGCCTGTTTCAGTCTGTGACTCCCTCTCTCCCTGACCCTCCCCTGCTCACGCTGTCTCTCTCTCTCTCTCTCTCCTAGAAATAAATAAATAAAAATTAAAAAAAATAAATAAATAAAAATAAATAAAAATGAATTTTAGTTTTATAGTCTATGGCTGGGTAAGTGTAGCATTACAAAAAGAGTTAGTCTTTGATTTCTTCAATCCAAGTTCCCACTGTCCACTCTGAGGTAACCTCTCTTACAAGTTTGGTGTGTGTTCTTCTAGATAATTTTTAATGGTTTTACATACATATATTGTATATATACTATAGAGGATATGTTGTATTGGTGTATTTTTATGTAAGTTGTGTTAAGTTGCTTGCATATTTATCATCTAGTTTTTGTTTTCTGTTTTTAATTCAGAATATATAAAGTATATGTATAAGTAATGTATAAAGTATAAAACAATCTATTTATGAGAACTGCCTATTTTGAGATTGAATGGAGATTGAATTCACTCCCCTTAGCTGCTATATAGCATCACATTCGATTTAGCCATTTCCCTATTAATAACTAGGTAAGGGCCTGGGTATTCTCTCTCTCTGAAACTACTGAAGAAAGGAGTGGAGGAGACCATATCCCATTCTGCTGTTGGTGTCAGGGGAAAGAAGCCTTCTCAAGGGAAAGAGTGGGACACAGTCCCCAAAAGAGGAAAGCAGGCCCCGTTCCTGGTGCCTGCAGAAAGACCATGGGAGCCTTCCCCCCTCAGTATCAGCCACATTTACAAATATTTCACAAAGATTTATTATTACCATGTGCCAAGCACCATGCTAAACCCTGATCCTGCATGCATGTGTAAATAATAATGCACCAAAGGCTATGGATATACTAAACTATGATTTCCCATGAACTTGTCAGGGTATGCTTAGATTTCTGCCTCAGTTATAATAGTAGTTTCTGGGTATTTGAAAAGCTTCAGGTGCACCTCTGTGGCTCAGTTGGTTAAATGTCCAACTCTTGGTTTCAGGTCAGGTCATGATCTCGTGATTTCATGAGTTTGAGCCCTGCATCAGGCTCTGTGCTGGCAGTGTGGAGCCTGCTGAGGATTCTCTCTCTCTGCCTCTCCCCCAACTTGTGCTGTTTCTGTCTCTCTCAAAATAACTTGAAAATAAAAAAGCTTCAAAGTAATCCAAGAAATCATAAGGCAGCCATAGGATTTATTTGTTATCATGTAAAGTATATTTCAGTGTAGGAAAAAAATGTGAGTTTACAGTTTTGTTTTTTTTTTTATAATTTATAAAATGGGACTTGATCTGTTAAAATCATTTTCACTTTTAATAGTCTAGAATACAGGACACTTGCAATAGTGGTCTTTTGCCACTAGGTGTTGCTATTGACAATACAAAAGTTAAAAAGCAAGGGCTTTATACATTGCAGCTGCTTGAAAGAAAAGCATTTGAGAATAAAAGTGTGAAAGGCCTTTTACAGACAAGCCCTATAAAAGGATCTATGTGCATATTTAAGTAGCTTAGTTCCATGGGCACAAGAGTAGTTAAGTACTGCCTATATCCTTCTGGAACAAACCTCAGCAACTTACTGGTCAGCAGTATAAGGGGGAAGTCAGAAGGTCTTAGAATTGGAAGAGAGCTTATTTGTTCATTAGTTTTCAAATCTCCTTCCTGGAGTTAGAGATATATTTACATGCAAGCAACGGAATACACACACACCCATATAAACAGATTATATGTATACATAGCTGAAGCCACAGTTCCACAAAACAATATCCTTACTATGTGCAATCAATTTTTTTTCCATGTATTTCTTTTTCTTTTTTTTTTTTTAAATGTTTTATTTATTTCTAGGAGACAGAGAGAGAGACAGCGTGAGCAGGGGAGGGTCAGAGAGAGAGGGAGTCGCAGACTGAAACAGGCTTCAGGCTCTGAGCTGGCAGTCAGCACAGAGCCAGACGCAGGGCTCGAAGCCACGAACCGCGAGATCATGACCTAAGCGAAAGTCGGACGCTTAACCGACTAAGCCACCCAGGCGCCCCTTTCCGTGTATTTCTAAAAGAATAGAATTCTCTGTCCCCAGTTACTGGCACAGAGCTCCTAAACCCTTGTAATTTCCTAAGGAATGAGAACATTAGGAGCATCTCTTCTTCTAATAATTGGTCTTAGATTCTGGTTCCTGACACAGCTCCTAAATGCCTTGGAATTTCCTGGGTGATAGGAGTGGCTTTTGTTCTAAGGAAGTGACTCTTGGTGGGCTCTTGTCAGGATGAGGGCTGGTCACCAGAAAGACCAAGTTCTGATTAGAAGCTTGGGACTTTCAGTCTTGTCCTCCATCCTTTGGGAAGAGGGGAAGGGCTAGAAGTAGAGTTAATGAACATTCATGCCTCCATGAGAACACTTCCATCAAATCCCAAGTACGCTATCAGAGGGCTTCCAGGCTGGCGAACACATCTCCATGCCGGGAGGGTGGTGCACCCCAACTCCATGGGGACAGAAGCCCCTGCACTTGGGAGTCTCTGCACACTGCCCTATGTAGCTCTTCATCCGGATGTTCATCTGCATTCTCTCTCACGTCCTTTGTTACATAATGAACCAGTACACATAAGTGTTTCCCCAAATGCTATGAACCATTCTAGCAAATCATTGAACCCAAGGAGGAGTTCACGGCAAGCTGGGTTTATAATCGGTCAGTCAGAAATACAGGTGACAACCTGGGACTTGGGACTGGGGTCTAAGTGGGGAGGTCTTGTGGGACTTGACTTATAGAATCTGATACTAATTCCAGGTAAATGGTATCAGAACTGAATTGAATTGTAGGACCCAACTTGCTACTTCAAGATTGTTTGATGTGTGAAAAACCCACACATCTAGAGTCAGAAGGTTAGTGAGTGTAGTGGTGTGAGAGTAAAGATACACAGGGAATGCTTCCCAGACATATTCTATTTCATAAAAAAGTATACATATATACTGGTCATAAACTAATAACTGGATTTTAATTGATCTAATGCACTTCCTTCCATTTAACACATTAGGAAAGAGAGGCTCAGAGAGGTGCAGTGACTTGCCCCGGGTAACACAGCAAGGACGCAGGCATTCCAGGACACATTTAGAAGGTCCTGGGCAAAAACTGAAAAATATCCTTGGCATACTCCCAGCCCTTTCTGCACTCTTACCTTCTAAAGCCTGTGGGCCAGAATCTGCTTGTGAATAAAATCAACAAAGTAGATGTGTGATTAGTTATATACAATCATCATTTTAAAAATACAGGATCTTTCTAAAATGCAAACGTGTACACTTCAACTCTTCTACTTGCATTCCCTCAGTGGTTCTGTTTCTTAGGCCAAATACAAATTCTCAGTGTGGCAGTAAAACTCCTCCAGACCTGGCCCCAGTCCTGCTAGCCAGCCTCACTCTTTACCACTTCCCCATGCATTTTCAGTCTTTCAGTCTTTCCTGCATTCTTGACCTGGCTATATCTTAGATTTTTCATGACTCCACTCACATTCCTCTTCTGCAAACCTTCCTGGGCCCTGGCTTTCCACACTTTGGCCACAGCACACATCCTACTGCCCCTGAATCTTCTTGTCTGTCTTTTTCACTGTACTGTGGCATTCTTATGAGCCAAGGATCATGTCTTTCCATTTGTCATCCCTGGCAGCTAACCCAGGGCTCAGTGCACAAGAGAAATTCAGTAAGTATCTGCTGGAGTGAATATTTGCATATTCTTATTCTCACATTTTAATCCTTTAAAAAAAAAAAAAAAAAAAAACACCTCACTGGAATATTAGCTCTTTGAATTATGTAAGAGCTGGTTCTGACAATGCAGATCTTCATTTTCTAATATATTGAGAGTATGAATAAAATCTATACCTATCTCAGGAAAAATGGATGCAAAAACCAGTTTTAACTTCTGTTTTTTTTCCTCTTTATTTAAATACATCTGGATGGTTAGTTTTGGTTTCTTAAATCCCAGTCTGTAGGCTGTAGTACTTGATGATCATCACAGCCTCTGGCCCATCCACTTGAATCCCTGGACTGAGAGCCTTCCCTGGATCACTTAAAAAGGGCAGATGACAACTCTTATGTGCATGCTACTCTACAACATACTAAAAAATGTGGGTCAGTAAGTTATTTTACTATCCATCATTAAGGAGGGGATCAGAATGAAAATTAAATGATTCTATGACTAAGTGCAGTGAGTAATGAAGGGAGAGGTTGATCAGTGGGGTCTATGGTGATGAGAGATGGCTTTGTAGGAGAGAATTATATGGACTAAGTTGAGAATCGAGTAGAGAAGGAAGCATTTCCAGGTGGGAACCAGCATGAGCAAGAGTCAGATAAGGATGTGGGTGGAGAAGACTTGCCTGATGAGGGGTCCATTTGTGTTCGGAAGAGTCAGGCCTGAAACAAGGTGGGAGGGAGGGAGAATGTATGCTGACATTGGATAGGAGCGGGGGCTAATTATTCTTTATCACCCTTTCTCCTGTGGCATTGTGTTGGTTATGAAGCATAGTCAGGTTGACTTAGCATTTTGATCTCCTTCCTGCTCTTAGGTGAGTAGGACGAATGTTAATGGACTTTTTAAAAGTAGAGATGGTAAAAGACTAAAGGAGATTAGGAAATTTAGCCCAAATCACATAGCTGGCAGCTACCCAAACTCCCACTCGAGATTCAACACTATTTCACAGACCAAGAATTACAGTTGGTCTCACAAATCACATAGCTGAGGACCAAAGAGGTGAAGTAAGTTTTCCAAGGCTACACACAAGCAGTTTAGGATGCTGTTGGTAACTTTAGCCAGCATGATTTCTGATTGATGGGGTTTTGCATTATATTAACTGGAGAAGAAACCCGAAGGAAAAATCCTCATATTGCAGAGAAAGAGCTATTATTTTGAGAAAACAAAATATTTTCTAATGTTTTAAAGCTGTTGGGATAATAGTCTGTTATGTAGCTGCAGTCTTAAAAATGGAAATTTTTATCAATCAAAAAATTAAAAGTTTTTTTTAACCAAAAACTATTCTGAAAAGAAATAGAAAGAGAGCTGCCGGAGGAGAGATATCTATCTGGGGAGAGTGGTCTCCACAACCAATAAGAGCTTTTCAGAATTTTTTTCTGCCACTGATGAATTTTAAGGTCTTCACCAAGCAGAGAAAAAAAATAAATAAATAACTTAAGAACAACACTAACACCAACAAAAAACCTTCACATTGTCCCTATGTGATTGATGCTATCACCTCAGAATATGCTAGCAAAGGGTAACTAATATTTCCAGACGAGTACATCATCTAGATGACACATTATTATGATTTATTTCGGTTTTTTTTTACTCCAGAAATGACACGGTCTGAGAAATGACTTGCTGAGAAATCTATGTTTACATTAGGGTAAGTCGGGGTGGGGGAGGGGGTGATGAAAATCCCTGCAGAACTTGAAAAGATGTTAAGTGGTAAATACCAAAATGCCCAGCAAGCATGTAAGCAGGCTCTCATCCCAGCATGAATATGTGCAGCTCAGCATTTTAAAATTTACTTTTAGCTTCTCTAGCAGTTTGAATTAACCCATTCTCTACTTCCACTCCCGGTGTGAGAGCTCAGCCTCGAACCTACAGACTAGAAGTGCAGGCACAGTCTTCTGCAATTGGCCAGTAGATAACCCTCTCACCCTGATGGCTTCCTCCAAGTGGGCAGCCTCATGAACGAATGTCTCCTAGACGTTCTTAACAGGCAGGAGGCCTGGGGCAAAGCCCAGACAAATGGTAGGAAGTAAGTCAGACTTGGTAGAGCCCCCACAAAACTGGAAAAGGCGTGTTGGGAGACCAAAACAATACAACTAAATGCCGCACTGAAGGTACATCCAGATCAGAGGTTCTCCAGAAGCAGGTAGGTCAGAACCATCCCAGAGAGGCTGTTTCAGAAAGTGGCCCCGAGCATTTGGAGTCATAAAAGATCCTCAGGTGATTCTAAAGGACATCCCTCACTGATAGACACTAATCTAGATTCTCTAAAGAGACACTTACACTTTGTCTTAGTTTTAGGCCCTGACAAGTTAAAATGAAAAACAATCAATTCGAAACTAAAACTTATTCCTCATTAGGTATATACTATATCAGTTACTACAGACATTTGCTTTCAATGGAAAAAATAATCCACGTCAAAATCTTGGTGAGTCGAAATACTGCCTAGTATTTGTCCTATTAAAACCGGGGTCGGCCAAATACACTTTTGGTGACCTTCATGCCACAATTTTCTAAGTTCTTTGGCTCAGTAGAAGAAAGTGAAGAACAGGAACAAAACCAAAGCCAAGAGAATAAAAGAAAGTTAACTGAGCAATAAAGAATTATTACAATTCTGAAATAAACCCATCCACTCCTGTGTTTGTGAGTGTTATGGTAGCAAACTCCCATGCTTCCTAAATGACAGGGCACTGGCTGGTTGAAAACCTAAACAGTCTGTGTTCATCCTATTACAGATGAAAGAAGACTTAACATTTGATGGGGTCAGTAAGGACCCTTAGTGTAACAGAGACAATAGGATCTTTGTCATAAAAAAACATTCAGGGCAGGCTTTCCTTTTTACCTTGTGGATGTTCATTCATAGGGAGAGGCTGCTCTGGCATAACTCAGAGGTAGATTTAACCCAACAACTGGCCCTACAATGCTCAGCCATGATGTGACGTAGTTGACACTCCTAGGAAACAAATGAAAAAACAGGCAACTCTAATGTTTCCATTGTAGTTGGGTGTGTGGTAGAAAATCAGTTACCAACAGAAGAGATGAGCTGCCTTCAAAGATACGTGCCCACCATGTGGAATTCCACATTTCCAGATATCAGCTCCACTACTTGACAGGAACTTGAGGTCCAAAGGGGCTGAGGATCCCCCAATAAGATAGTTAAAGGGGGAGTCAAGGCATTGGGACTCCTGATTCCCCTTGATGATTCCAATTTTACACTTAAAATGTACAGCATTTGCTAAGGTAGTAGAGTGCAATGGTTAAGAGCATGGCTCTGAGGCACAAATGGCTGGGTTCAAATCCCAGTTCTACCACATAACTAGCTGTGAACTTGACCAAGTCATTTAACTCCTCTGTGCTTTAGCTTTCTCTTCTGTAAACTGAGTAAAATAATGGAAATTAGTTCAGAGGGTGTTATAAAACTCCAATGTCTTAATATATCTAAAATACTTAGAACAGTGCCTAGCACACAGTAAAAATCAATAAACGTTAGCCATTATTATTATTACAAAAAATATTTCTTTTTTAGTTTGGCTTTTAGAGTCACATAAAAAGATTTACACTTTTAAAATAAGAGTAAAAGCCAATGTATTTTGATGGTGTTTCTTACCTATTGATTTTTCGAGAGTTCTTTAACACAGGAGTCATGAATTCATTCGTCTTGCAGGGATGGAGTACAAAAAAAGGCTGCCCAAGTATTGGATGCTCCTGTAAGAATCAGAGTCGGCCCAGGATTGCCAGTGTGAGTTACTTTGAAAAAGTTAAAACATACAATCTTGTTTGTTCAAATAAAAGTTTGTTTTAAATTCCAAGTTTCTAAATTAAGATACAGATCAATTTCAGTTTTGAAATATAATTCATAATCCACACATGAGGAGTTACAAATTGATAAGTATAGGAGGGTAAACGGTTTTGTTTACACAATACAAACTGTAGACAAGTTTCATCAGTTTCCTCTCTTTGTCAACTAATGTTACTCTTTGGCCTATAATTATTCTTCAGTTTTTCCTCAAGGCTGTCTGTGAAGACTGGTAGCCTGATCATGTGAACAATGTATTTCATTTGCTTCTTTGTAAGGGAACCATAATCTTTAGCACTTTTTTTTTTTTTAATAAACTTTCCAACATGTTGTTTCTCCGGTGCCAACAGGCACGTGTTCAGTGGGTAGAATGGAAGGGGGGAGGGGAGGAAGCAGGAGACTGGCCTGCATTATTTAAATTGTTGTACTTCTGTCTGTCTGTCTCTCTTTCTGAGTTCCTCTGTTTATCTGTTTCTATCCTTCTGTCTCTCCCAAGCTTATTGGGCTGTTTCTGTAAATCAAAACCCATTTGATGGAATGCCACTGTCTTCATAAGAGAATGATTGGATCCAAGGTACAGGTCCGGCCGCTGCCAGGGTAGGAATGTGCACATCATTTGGCCAACAATGGGGAGCCCTAGGAGATTTCTACGTAGTGAGTTATCTATGCATAAATTGTACCAATGCAAAAACAATTATTAACAATAAACTTATTGATTGTTTACATTGTGGATTCACCATTATGCCAAAGACTGCAAACTCAAATACTGCTATGGTTTGAATGTTCACATCTCCCCATATTTATATGTTGAATTCCTAATGCCCAGGGTGGATGTATAGGGAGGTGGGATCTTTGGGAGATAATTAGGTCAGGAGGGTAGAGCCGTCAGGAATGAGATTTAGGACCTTATAAAAGAGATGCTGCACCCCGAATGCTAGCTCACCCCCTTCTGCCATGTGAGGACACAAGAAGTGTGTGACCAGAAGGAAGGCCCTCATAAAAACAGGCTGGTATCCTGATCTCAGACCCCAGAATGGTGAGAAATAAATTTCTGTTGTCCGTAAACTACCCAATCTGTGGTATTTTTTTAACAGCTGGCCAAGTAAACTGGCACAGACACCTACGAAGATCACGCAGGTGGCCGGAAGGAGTGGGGTCAGTTAAATACACAAGCAGGTGACAGGGACTGTGGGGAAGTGGAGAGTGTGCCCAGCCAAGGCTCTGCTTGTCACTCTGCTCCAGCCAATTGTGCCATGTGGGAATGCAGGTTCGGTGTGCCAGGTCTTCCCATTTGTCAAAATAACCTAGGGATCCAGATTTTTATGTAAAACCTCCTAAATTTAAATTTTGGCACCTTTTTTTTTTTTTTTTTTTAACATAGAGTGGGCCAAATAAAACAAGCCTGTTGGCTGGATTTGGACTAGGGGCCTAGCTTCTTCTCCTGGCTTCTTCTCCTCTTGTCAGCCAGTCCAAGGAGAAGCTGAACTCAGAGCATCCATGGAAAGGATTACGTGTGGTTGCTGCTGCTAACTCTACCCTCCAACCCCAAAACACTCGTGTTGGCGTCCATGTGCACACACCTGCTCACAGGAAATGGAGGCACCATTCCACCGTGTATTAGAGATACTGGATATGGATATTGGGGGATGTATGTATGTGCTGAGGGTTGGGGCATCCACTGGATGTGGGTCGCTGTATGTCTCCCGAGTGCCACCTCTGGAGTCTGCCCAGTAGCCTGACTCTTACAGCAGAGCCTGGGCTCCCTTTCCCCTGCCCTCTCCCTACCCCTCCTTCCCCTCCCTAAGCAGAGCCTAGGGTCAGAGCCCAAATGTGTTATGCCCATAGCAAGTCTTCCTGTACAGCTCGATTCCTTACATGCCTTAAACTAGTATTTATTAATTCAACACATATCTACTGATTATGTCATATGTGGGTGCCAGGAACATTCTGAATATAGTAACAGAGATCACTGTATTGCAAACATAAACAAAGTCCCTGATCCCAGGGAACTTTCATGCCAGTGCCGGAGATGGCCAATAAGTTCACAGAACAAATAAAGAGACAAAATAATCCAGAAAATAATAAGTGCTATGAATAAAATAAAACAGAGCCCCTTGATTTTGAGAGCATTTGGAACCGAAAAGCTCCTTTTTGTTGTTAAATAAATACCTTAAATATGTTGCTAATCATGGCCACTCTTCTAGCAGTGTGTCAAAAGTATCCATAATCACTTCCGTGGTTAAACTGTATATGGCCAGCACCCAATGCTTTCTCAAGTGTGTCAGCTTCTCTTAGCTGTGGCAAACTAACCAAACCATTAATTGCTTTTCAGATACAGATGGAAAATTAATTTATAAAATGCTCAAAAATCCTTGTTTCTAAATATATAAGACTACTGAATACAGGCCTTGTGTCATTATGAATATAATAATAATACAATGTAGAAAAATCAAAAGTTTCCCTGACGTGATTAGAATTCTTATCTTCCCTCATCGTTCACTTAGCGAATATTAAGTCCTCTTTGTCTGACAATTTTATAATGATTTAACCCTAACTAACGGCAGATCTATAGTTTTAAAATGTGGCTAATCTTAGGGATATCTTAATGCAGCAGAAGTGACAGAATTCAAAGTGGGCCTTATGACCTGAGCTGATACTATATTTTAAGTAACATTCAGTCAGCTAATCCTGCAAGCCAAGCAATTTGTATTCAAAGTCAAGGTAGAGAATTTACAAATAATTTGAGGCGTCTGATCAGTGTAGACAGTCAATCTGGATAATATTCTCCAAAAGCCATTTTTTTTTCTGCACTGGAGATTTTTTAAGGTCCGTGCCATCAGGAAACATTATCTGCATTTTCTACTCTCTCCTTCAGACAGCCAGAATTAGAGATGAAAGCCATCTTTCATTTTTAGTTTAGGAATTATGTGCTAGAGTTCAAAAAAATCTAAAACCCTATACCTTATTTGTTTAACATACCATTTTCAGAAATGGAAGAACATCAAAACTGTCAGGATCTTTTTAGTGACATTTCTTAGATCAATTCAGAAGGTAAATTTGTGTGAAAGTGCTACCATCTGCTGTCAGTACTAATGAACTGATGCAAATCTGCACTGAGAAAAATGTCAGTGTGGAAATACATGCAGCCAGTGAACTGTGTTAGGCTTACAACTCAATAAACACTTCTACTGGAACAAAGTTCTGCTAAATGGTTTTCCGTGAAAATAGAAATGATGGGTCAGATTTCTATCTTTGTAACTCCAGAGGAGTTATATAGGCACATTCTCCTATGAAATTTAATTTAGCAATGGTTAAATGTCTCATAAAATAAGTCTGACATGAATACTGTGAATTGGTTTCAGAACTATTAGATATGACTATCACAAGGAAATGATAATACTGCACCTTCATTCTTACATCTAATAAAGGATATGAATTTCTTGGTTCATTTCTTAATTTTCTTGGCTCCCCAGGAGGGCAGAAATATAATTTCACATACAAAGCTTTCAGCCAGTTGTATATTCCACACTGATCGAATTTGCCTTCCACTCAGGGTACATTCCTTAGAAATGGAGAGGAGTATTTCCCTAAGCCTGCTTCCTCAAGCAAAGAAAGGAAAACGGCTATTGAACATCTGCAGTATGAGACACTGTACTAAGTGCTTTGCAGAGGGTCACCTATCTGAATAATTCTTTGAGGAAGGCTTGATTGTTGCCTTTTGGAGAACGGGTTCAAAGGGATTATGCTTAAAGTCATCCATGTAGTGGGGGGCGAAGCATTTCCAAAGTGTGGTCTTACATTGCACCTCTCCACCCCACCGACCAGAGGTGTCATCAAGGACATTTAATCCTCTCTAGTCCATCTCTTTAAAAATCTACTTACTTTTATTTCAAAATAATGTGTTTTCACAAAATTAGAAAGGGCAATGCATACAGAGAACTCAGAAAATACAGAAAAGAACAAGGAATAAAAGCAGGATAACCTAAGACTGACCAACTCAGATTTAATCACTATTTGGTGAATTTCAAACCTTTTCATGCACACACGTTTAGAGTTTTCTATTGCTTTTTATCCAATGAACAGATATACGTGTATCATGTGCCAACTGTCTGCCACTCCTGCCATATGTGGTGTTTGCTGGTGTTCTTGAAGTTTCTTTGTCTTCTGTATTGCGGATATCTATACTTATTTTTATTTTTTCCCTTTATATATTTTTTGTTTGGATTTATTTTGTCATTCTTAATTTTTTAACGTTCCATGGGGTGCTTAAAAATACGCATAAAGAGGGGCGCCTGGGTGGCTCAATTGGTTAAGTGTCCGACTTCGGCTCAGGTCATGATCTCACGGTTTGTGGGTTCGAGCTCCGCACCAGGCTCTGTGCTGACAGCTCAGCTCAGAGCCTGGAGCCTGTTTCGGATTCTGTGTCTCCTTCTCTCTCTGACCCTCCCCTGCTCATGCTCTCTCTCTCTCTCTCTCTCTCTCTCAGAAATAAACAAAACATTTAAAAAATTTAAAGTGTTAAAAAATACGCATAAAGAACATGCACTCTTGAATGTTTCTAGATCTTATCTGCTTTATCTATGAATTTCTAAGGGAAGTTCAAATCTCCCCTTGTCTACTTCTGTTTGTAGTCTGTCAATTTTTGTTTTCTATATCCTGAAGCTATGTCATTTGAATGCATATATCTTCCTAGAGAATGAAGCTTTAGTACAGTGATCATATTTATCTCTGATTATGCTTTCTGCCCCCAAAAGAACTTTTATCTGATATAAATATAGCCACACCAACTTTTTACTTACCTAAAGCATTTTAAAAATTATTTGCCTTTCAATTTGTGTCCTGATGTTGGATATATTTCTTATAAAAATAACACAGATTCTTTAAGAAATCCACTGTAATAATCTCCTAA